TTCTGCTTCTTGAAGCCGAGCTGGCTGAGGGCGCAGTTGCGCACAAGAAGGGTTGTTGACCTGCTACAATCGCTGTCTGATTGGTTGGCAGTCACGCCTGTGCCGCCGCCTCCGTGTGCCGAACAACTGACGGCACAAGGTCCGGTGCAGTTGTACGTGATTATCAGCGCTCCGAGCCGGTACTGAGTCTGATCGTCAGGGCCGGCTAGCTTAGTGTGCAGTCCTCGAAAGCGCGACGACTGTACGACCACTGGCCAGCTGTCGGTGACGTTGATCGCATGCGAGTCCTTGCGAATGCCAGAGAACAGGCAGTCGGAAACGCTAACTGATGAGCTGTGGAGGAGGGAGATTGCCGTGCCAAAGTGTCCGTTCAAGTAAGTGATGCTTAGTCCAGTGATACTGACATGCGAGGAACCCTCCACAAGCAGCCAAGTCTGACCTGGCTTCATCTGCAGCTCAATGGACACTGCTCCACCGCCGGCAGGTGCTTCAATGCTGACATTCTGCACACCTTGCACGTGTTCGGCCACTTCCAGATCAAGATCGGCCAGCAGAATTGGCTGCCTTGCTTGCAGCATGACGATTACCGAGCGTCCACTGCGGCTGCCCTGACTGCCGGATTGCAGAGCCGTTCCAATGTCAGGACACGGACTGCTTGCATTCAGTCCGCAGCTACGACTCGTATCATTGGTTCTACGACTCGTGTAATCAAGTCGAACATATCGTAGTGATTCCTCGGCGGATAGAGATTGCTGAGCGTAGCCTCCCCGCCAACATAGTGCCAACAACACGCTGAGAACACAATTCAGACTCGTCAATGGATGAACTTTCATCCGCAGTCCTCCGTCACTCCGTCTTCGCGCGGTACCCCGCCGCCAGCATGCAGTATGGCTTCCTCGAGATTCGTGGTCATCTCCGAAGCTACATGACGAAAGGGGATTGCACGATGACCGAACCATCCCGTTAGCGAATGATCCCACTCTTTGCAAAGCGGACTGTGACTCTGAGTCTGTAGGCCACTGCTTGGTGGGTGTGCCACAGGATCTAGGAGTTAGCGACACTCACGGTTCAATCCGGCCATTTGTGCTGATGAATGGACTTTTACCCGGAGTGGTCCCAGTCTGAACCTCCCTCCAAAGAGCTCATAGCAGACCGGAGCGGACACTGCCACATAGAGTCATTTCTAGTCGGGACCGTAAAGCGCTAAGTACGTACAACTGAAAGCTAAACTTTAGCTTGTCCTTTCAGCAAGTCGCTGAACTAGCTTGGGGATGCTTGTACCACATTTCGTAAAGAAGAAAAGAAGTCGAATTGTGATTTCCCTAAAACTGGAAGCCTTTTTCAGACGCAAGTTGTAATCATCCGGATTTCCCACTCAGTCAGAGTCAGACACATACAAATGCTCGTACTATCATCATGCATATCGCGATATCAGGATATTGGTAGTGCTGAAGCATGCACACAGTACTTGCTGCGTGCAGTCGTCAAAATGCAGACGTGTATCATTGTATTACCGTCTCGTAGATACCTTGTAGAATTATTGACTGAGTACGAGGTCAATACGACAATAGGAAATAAAAGCCGAGTAAAAGACCGAGGCGAAGCCGAGGTCTTTTACGAGGTTTTTATTTCCTATACTGACCAAGTACGAAGTCAATATTAGATTTATTACGACAAACAGTCCGTATTTCAAATTCCAGAACGATAACCTCATGAATCCCGGTTTTATGATTGCACACCCGTTGCACCACCACCTACTCATGCAGTGACAATGCTGCACTAGGCACCGTTCAACTGCGGAACCCCTAAGCAGTCAATTATAAGCAGTCAATATAGCCCTAAGGAGTGAAATATGCAGGAATATTTGACTACTTAGGTATAGCGAAAATCAATGGGAGTCAATACTTAGGGAGTGATACATCTACGTATTATCGGAATAATGATGTATGCAGCGTGAGCCGCTAGTGCAAGTGCAGCGCTGTGCTGTGAGTGTGACTTCGCCAACGCATCTCAACTAAAGACAAAGTGATGTAATCGCAAAACGTCTATACTCATACTGTCTCGGTTTTGCAAGCAACACAACTAAAAATGCACTGTGTTTACTCACGACATGGTATGTCAATTGCACTGAGCCTCAATTTTCAACTATTATTTGACTTTCAAAATTCCATCTTGTAGGATTTCAGCATTTCTAGCAAAGTACATTGTATAAACATTTCAAAGGAAATATACTGCATGCTGAGAAAGATCATGGGCACTCAATTTCATGTTCTACGTATAGTGCATGCTATGAGTGTGAAGTGAGAGTGTTCGGAACATCCAAAAGCCCACTAGAGGAGCATCATTGAAGCCAGTGCAATCACATAATAATAATATCTGTTGTAGATATTCATCTATGCTTAAAAAACTGATTAGGTTGTATCACACAGCGCCATGCCACTAGTATCTCAAAAGTTAATTCAAAGCCTAGTGGGAGTTTCTGTACCATGTACATGACATGTCATTGTATACCATAGTGGCAATTGTCATTACGGGACCAACAGAGGCGGTCCACATCAGGAATGGCCAAGGTCAGCCGAGCATGCTCCGCTTTCGCCCTCTCATTCGTACCTCTTCTAGCTTATCGACTACTGACTTTGCATTTTTGGTGGCAGAGCGGTACGCTGAGAGAACCTCCTTGAACACCGCCTCGGAATTCGGGTGGCTGCTGAGAAAGGCCCTCTCCAGTACATACAGATCAACGCCTTTGTCTTCTGCTACCGTCGACACTGAACTGAGGCCAAAGTCGATGAGAAATAGCTGTCCCTCCTCACTAACACCACCAGCACACTCATTGCCAGGACGCAACATCATGTTGGAGGTCGTCAGGTCTCCATGAATAATGTCAGCGTCATGCATGCTGGCCAAAGTACGGCCAATCATTCTGCCAAGACGCTTGGCTTCATCGCCATTACCCAGTCGACAGAAAGCATCCCTGAGGGTCTCAGCGCCAACGATTTCCTCCAGGTAAATACGGTGCTTTTCGTAGTCAATGAAGAAGACAGCAGGACATGCAATCCCAGCCTTACGGCAGCGAAGAAGGGATCGCACTTCTTGGTTCGTGCGCCTCTGGGTCAAAAGAGTATCCAATGTTTCGTGTCTATACGCTTTGTTGAAGCGCTCTTTCACAATAGTGGGCTTCCCACAGAACGAGGTCCGGTAAAGGCGAGCTTCTGCTCCTTGTTGCAGGAGCTCCATTGCCACGAGCTCTCCAAAACGGAACGACAAGACTCAGTGCAAGTAAAGATTCAATTAGGAGAAGCAATCAAACCAAATATTTTCAAAACCATTTTCACCACTTCAAAACAGAAAAATATTGTGACACCAAAATCAAAAAATAATAATTATAGCGTGGGACGCCATATTCTGTCACCGTGGTGATCGCGAGTCCTGTGGCGCCAAGGCGACTCTGGAGAACAGCTGTGAATGAGAAAGATGAGAAGTAACGTTTTTGAAATACTGCAGTAACAATTACATAATCATTGATTAGATAAGCTGCTGCTGAATCAGATTGATACATGCATGGACGGTGCCTTTTTCTGCCGTAATTGGATTTTGATGCCAGTCTAAAAATACTTCCTCTGGAATCGTTGACTGGTCTAACCTGCGAGCTGTGTGTTCAGTTTGAGAACTGAACATTGTGTTCAGTTTCGTTCTGATATTGTGTAAATTTGTCAACTTCGATAGTAGAACATTTGAGAAGATGTTCACGGACTTGAAGTGGCTGCTAGACATCAGTGGACGTGACTTGCCCAGAGGATTTTCTCTTCTCTCTGATGATGGAGTGGATGGACAGTTCCTGATGTACTTTTACCTGACGCTATTTCTGGATGGCCCTGGTCATGTTTGCCTGGTGGCCACGTCGAGCACGTTTGCACGTCTCTCAGCTGTGGCCCAGAAACTCGGTGTGGATCTGGCATCCTGTGTGAGCCAAGGGCGTTTAGTTGTCATCGATTGCTATTCACATCTTCTGGATGGCGTAGTTGGGTGCTCCTCGCCTAAAGTCCCCAACGAGCCTCATGTTCACAAATCCGTTATGTTGGAAGATGTCATTGGTAGATCTGCACTTCGACCAGTGTATGAAATCATCGCTGGCGTTCTGCGGACGAAGCCTGCAGAGAAGTGGTGCATCCTGATAGAGAACTCCAGCCAGTTGCTGAGTGCGGGATGTAGCGCCGATGCTGTTCTCAACCTGTTGCACTATTGCCGTGCTCTGACCGAGGACAGCGAACATTTCCTCAGCACAGTTGTACATGCTGAGTCGGGCATGACGCAAGAAGTGAGTGCTGATGAGGGTGACGATGAAGCCCATCTCCTGTTCAACAGCCTGCTGCATTGCTGCAGTGTTCACATCAATGTCAGCGCCCTGAAAAGCGGCCTGCACCAACACGTCCATGGACATTTGCGCATAGACTGGCCGACAAGGCATGTTGGCGAGGCCCGGAAGCCGTCCGTGGAGCGGCATTTCAAAGTGCTCGATAGGACGGTGACTGTGTTTGCTAAGGGAACATCGGCAGCAGTCTTATGATCAATTTGTACTCTCAGTCTGCCAGCCATAGCTATAGCAGCTCACACAGTTCCGTGTGCGCCAGATCCCGGCCACGTGCACTCGCACGCCACCGCCTCGAGTTAAGCCCCGTCGTGATTGCAAGGCTCTTTGAAGTACGGGCCCTGCACTGCATGAGGTCTAGTTTCTGTGGTGCACACTCGCACAGAGTAACGCTAGCAAAGGTGTGTCAATGTAGTACTGGCCATGTGTGCGTGTGTCCCGAGGCAGGCTCGTCAACACTCTACCGAAGAGCATGCCAGGTGCCCTGTCTCAAGGCCGCTGTCACCGTACGTGGCACGAGATGGCGCAGCGCTATGCTCTTTCCCCGATATCTGGTAGTACATGTAATGCTACGAGCTAAGGAGGATGAAGTGAAAGGGCGCAGGCACCCTGCTTTCGTTGCACCAAGGTCCTTTGGTATTGCCTCGTCTTTCAAGTATACAGCAACGCGGCGAGTATTTTATGAAGGTGCCGAGTATTTTTTTTCTTACAGTGGTAAAATGGCAGCTGATGAGTTTACCTTGTCCAGGGTGACATCACATTTATGTACCAACAACAGTCTTACTTCCTTGGACACCGGTTTCAAAGTGTTTTCCTGAAAGCAAATGGGAATTTTCTTGTGATGTAAAACAATTGTACCGGAGATAGGATGCCGGTATCTGCTGCTTCTGCTGTAGTATGCCTGTAGTGTAAGCCAACAGGAGTATTTTTCTTTTAACACCCCCCCCCCCCCCCCCTGCATGGCAGGATGTAGCATTGTCAATGTTTTATGTTGCATGTATGGCTATGAACAAGAAAGTCGGAATGTTGTAAAGAAAGTGCAGTGCTGTGCCATGTGTTTTGGGGAGCAACCACCCGGTGTAGGCTGCGTCGGTGCATAGCAAGCATCCGATCATGACGCATGGTCTTGATTCAAGCCGTATTTTCCGGAGCACACGCCGCACTGGAGTACAAGCCGCACCCAGATTTTGTTGTCACGAAATCCAGACATCTACCTTATTTCATCACGACCATTGCAGTATATACAGTGAGTCACGCCGGCTTTTTTTGGTTGAATTACTGGTGTTAGAAGTGCGAATTATACTCCGGAGAATATGGTAGTGCTCTACACAATACAAGAAGTCATGTACTGTTACCATGGTTACTGCATGGATTATGATGCACCCAGGAAATCAGCACTGTACTTGTGCACTACAGCAATTGGCGTACCTTGCGGATTCGTCATTCAGCACCGACGTCTTTTCTGGACAGGGATCGAGAAATCGGCGAGTCACTACCGTGCAGACCAGTGGAGAATCCGGCTAGCATGCAGGGCTCCTGTAATGTAGCAGCACTGCATGTGTATGCATGATACCAAGAGTACATAACGGGGTTATGTACTCTTGATGATACCACCCTGCTCCCATGCAGTACACAAGCCCGGGCCCCAAATCATGCAAACGGTCGAAGCTGCAGATTCAGGGTAGCATCAGACACACGTACACGGCATCACCCGGCCGGTAATACTAGGGAGGTTTAGTCCCACGTAATCCGCGGTACTTTACGTGTGTGCGTGTGTGTGTGTGTGTGTGTGTGTGTGTACCACGTGATACTCAGTGACCCATGTATACTTACAGACGTTTTCTGATTCACGACATACCGTGAGAATCAGAATGGAGCGCATTGTGCAAGCTGTGAGGGTGCTCAGCTGAAGAAGTTTCCCAAGCACGTAATCAAAACATTCATCTTCGTCTTTGACCAAGTTTGGACCGTTCGCTTTATGTTTTTATTTTGTTCCGTGTGACTAAAAACAACATTGCGAGCATGAACTTTACGTGTATCACCCACGTTCCCGTGTCCATTACGTGTGACTAAACCTCCCTACTATTAATTGTACGATACTTACCGCACACTAGGGGACTCCCTGTTGCACAGAATTGTAGCCCTCGTCACATCGGGAAAAATGATCTCTCTTACACACGAGCTCTTACTCCCAACATCCTGGCAAGAACAAGATTGTACCTGATAGTCTTCTCATGCTACGTGGCTACTCTACATGAGGTCGAGTCCATGTATGTGAATATGAAGCCAGCCTGCAGGGGTGCTTGTGGACTGCAAAGTTCCAGACAATAGAGAGGTTTAGATAATGCACGTTTTTTTCTGACGCGACGTGAAAGTTCAGTTCGCGTTATTTGACTCGCGCGTTGGAAAACAACGCCAGTGACCTGCAGCTCACGTCGAAATTTGGAGTTCACGCCAAATTTGACGTGAAATTGTACGTCACGTCAGAAACAATGTGCATCCCAACCTTTCTAATGCCGAAAGTAACCTCACAGTCTGCTCTCACCATGCATGCACCACTGAATCACACACAGACTCTGGTGCAGATTTGATAAATTAGTATCATTTTCTCGCACAGTGGTTATGGGAGTACGGATGGATTTCACACCATTCTGGTAGAGTATGTTTTAGAAGAACACAACACGGTTTTCTGCCCTGGCTCTGAGACCGACGCAATGGGTTAATCTGGTCTTGAAAATAGAGAATTCAATGGAAAATAAAAGAAAATGGGAGAGAATCGTAAAGAAAATAGCGAAGAGACAGGATGGTGGTAGACGTAGATGTAGCGGTGGCAGTATTGGCACCGGAGATGGAGAAGGTACCCATGTTTGGTGTGTCCAGGTGCATTGTGTGACGTGAACGACTGCGACCTCTGCTGCTATGTGTGTGCTCGTCCGCAGTCACCGCGAGCTAGAACTGATGGAGAGCCACTGTACAATGCGGCGGCGGTGGCTGAGGAGGGCCATCACTTGGCTGCCCTGAGGGAGTCGGTTGCACGGCTGCCATTACTGCTGTTTTGGTGAGCCCTGAGCACATCACGTGCTTCGTCCACCTTGGCCTCCAGCGAATCGGGATTTTCTAGCATGTGGAGGATTTCAGAGTTATCTATTTCCAGCAGCATGCCTGTGATCTTTCCAGAGTTGCCAGCGTCAATGGCGTGCACCTTCGGGAAGAGTCGCTCGCCGAGGATCTGCTTCTGCTCCTGCGGAGTGGCCCGTGCAAGCATCTCCGTGTCCAAGTTCGAGACTGACGACGCACCGTCCATGGTGCCATTCTGGATGCTGGCGGGGGCATGGCGCGCATGCTGCTGCGCCGGCTGGAACGAGCTGCGCTTGCTCTGGCTACGCTGCTGAGGTGCGTTTGCTCGTCCTCCGAGGTTGTTGCGCGGGCGGTTTACGCGCGATGTCGCGGGTGCAGTGACCTGCGGCGGCATGTAGCTAGGGTTGCCGATCAGGTAGGGTGGTTGCATGCGGAAGTTTGCTCCCCTTGGCCGCATGGTTTGTGGAATGAACTGCTGACGGCCGGCGCCCTGTTTCAGGATTACAAAAAAAACAAAGATAAAAAAATTGAGTACACCCAACGTCTAATCAAACCATCCTGCTAGGTAATCAAGCACTGATAAGGAGCAGCAGCCCCAAGTGAAAATTGGCCATACACAGTTCTTTTTTTAAATATGATCACCAGCTCAGCTCGCAACAACTAATTGGTCTGTTCAACACTCTCTTGGGAGTTGTTCTCTTGATAAAGGGGTACGTCTCTTAGTTGGATTGTATGGAACATACCCTCAACAACTGCCACAAACATCTGATCACATTGCCATTTTAGGATTGCCTGAAAGGAAGCGGGCAATATTCTGCTGAAGCAAGCGCAGAGCGGAAGCTGGATTGGTGAATGTCGTACCTACCGTTTACACCACAACACCAGCGCAATGACGATGTACAGAACTTTGTGTGAGTTTGCCTCAAACTGGTGTTCCGCCAACAACATCAGTGTCAGTAAGTACAAACACAGTCGTGGCCAAAGAAATCCAACCCACGTGCCGAAAGCAGCGCCAAGGCTCATGTGGCGGCCGCTGCGGCCCTCGGATCAATTTTGGGAACATGCATGATGTAATCAAAATGGAAACGCGGCGCTGTTTTTGGACTCGCTGGTCGGATTTCTTTGGCCACGACTGTAGTGCTTGTTTTGCTCCCCTGATAACTTCAGGGTTTTGTATAGTGGACGTGGAGACAAAAATTGTACTTCCTCCGTATACAAAAACTTCGTGACTTTTTTTTGAAGGCTGCGCATAGCTCTGGAATTGTTCCGTTTGACTTGGAATAACACTCGTGGCATTGTCTAACCTGTTTACAAGCTATATACAAAGAAAAAAGCAACTCAGACGAATGAGATTCAGTTTATTCAGAGTCTTCGTCGCTCCCGTCATTGTCACCTGACGAGGCTGACTCCGCATCGCCAAAAGTCGTTGCTTCTCTCGCATTTCGTTCAGATTCTGTTCAGCTGCAATGATGATCCGACGCGGGACTTTGGCTAGCGTACTCTTCATTTCCAGAGCTGTGTACGAATCGGTGTCGACTATATTATTCAGTCGTTCCAACCCGCGACCTCCATTATGCCGTGAAACGAGTCGCTCAAGCACATCCACACGCTTCGCATTTTCTCGGCAGGAGAATCCTCCCAGCATTCTACAACGGCTTCGACGACGTCCCTGCGAATCCCCTCCTAGGCCACAACGGAGACGTCTGATTGGAGTGGAGAGAGGCGAAGAAAGCCAGGTCGTCGACATTCCGATCCGGAGTCTGCGCTGGTTGCACGACGACTGAAATGTTTCATCTTTCCGTGCGAGCGGAACCGATTTATGTTCTCACGCTGCGTATGGGGCCGCGCACCGCAAGTACGAGCCTGGCCAGTTTCAGGGCAGCGAGTGCCGCGTGAGTCGTGACTCCGTGCTCCATGCGCGAGCTCCACTTCGTCACGGTGTCAGTTTCGAGCAAGTAAGTGTTAGTTTTTTTGTTATTTGACTCGTGAGGTCCTGTCGGCAACGTCCTCACACGCATGGCTTCCGTGGAGAATCTGTTCTAGATCAACCAAACCTACCTCAACATGATTATGCGTTGTCGATGACAGCCTTTGGCGCGGTTCGTTGAGCAGGTTCTTGCTCAAAAACACCGTTGAAAAAAAGTCACGAAGTTTTTGTATACGGAGGAAGTAAGAAAAAAATGCTGAATGCACAGTCTGTAAATGGATTTTTATCGGACTCGTTGACTCCACTTGTGATAATTTGTATACGTCTGAAGTACACAGCACAACAATGGCAACCGAGGCTAGTCAGTCACTTCTCGGAGTTTCATGATTAATTTTCGCAATCATCAGCCTGCAAGTACAAGACGTAGTACATAAGTGGCAATGGTAATGCTGTGGTGCTGTTCACTTCTATTTTAGCCGAACCAGCAACTTGGGGTATTTCGTGTTTCCTTGCATTGGCTGATCTCTTGTGAACCGCCTTTCCCCGATTATAAGTCTGACCTCTCAATTATAAAACGTGCATCCCCTTTTCAGGTTTGAGCCATGTTGTTTCAATGTAGTCACGTA